GGAATGGAAGGATTTATATTCCTTGCAGACATCTGATCATTTACACCGTTTTATCTAGAAGATTCAGCAGTCCATCTGCATTTGAAAGACAAAGGGCACTCTTTTAAAGCCAGCAAAGTCCACATTTTTGACAGAGGGGATCGCTGGTTTGAAAGAGGCCATTTATGTCAAAATTGAACAGCCCTCTCTCAACAGAGGGGGAAGGATATGACATCATCTCTCTCCAGTCTACAATACAGTCCTTTCCACAGTTCCAAGAAGGCGCCACACCATTTGCACCACTCAGGTGACCAACGAGGACACAGATAAACCTCCAAGTGGCCTCAACGTCTCTCTAAAAAGGGTGCAAATGAACAGATGTCTGCAAGGAATATAAATCTTTCCATCCTTTGCCATCCAGTCAGAGCTGAAGAAGCTTCTTGGATGAGAAGTGAAATGTCTTCAAAGAAAAACCAGAAAGTCCAGATGCCTCTTGAAAAAGCATCTTCTAGCTGCCTCTTCAAAAGCATATGGGACAGCCATGACCTGGATGACTGAGAATCTCCATAGATACTTTGGTCTAAGGTGTTAGGGTTAGGGGTTGATAAAGGAGAGGGAATGTCTGTTAGCTTTTCAAAGTTCTGATACGCCCTTTAACAATAAAATAGATTCCCATGTCTGTTTCTTCAGCGGGCTTACTTTAGGAGCTGAAAAGTGGAGAATTAGGTTTAGATTTACTATTGTAAGTAATTATATTTTCTTTTGAACTGTGTTTTGTATGTAGGTTCTGTAAGCTGCTTAGAATTTGGTTAGGGCAGTAGGCAAATCCTGTGAATAAATAAACAAGTGAATGAATGTAACGCAATGAAGACAATCCTTTTTAGAAAATAAAGAAGACTAACGGATGACCACTTCTATTGAAAAAAAAATGTTTCCAGTGAAATGCTTTTCTGAATTTGTCATCACTTCCATATTGCATTTTTATTCCAGATAGAAACAAACAATTCTAACCTGGAGCGACAATAGGATAAAGAACAAATCCATCTTCCTCATTGCACAATAAGGTTTGTTCATTAAGTTGATGATTTCTTGTTCCATGTTTAGATACAGACAGGTCTGGATCCAAAGTAGCTTCTGCTGATTCAGACAATCACAGTGTTAGGAGTATTATTTAGGTCACTGAGCCCAATTTCTGCTCAGCGAGAGAATTCAGTGGAACTCACCTTTAGGTTAAGCCTGCTTGGGACTTTATCTATCTATCTATCTATCTATCTATCTATCTATCTATCTATCTATCTATCTATCTATCTATCTATCTATCTATCTATCTATCTATCTATNAGATAGATAGATAGATAGATAGATAGATAGATAGATAGATAGATAGATAGATAGATAGATAGATAGATAGATAGATAGATTTGGGTTCAAGCTCTGCTTCAGTGATCGCGGTCACTGGATGATTTTGGATAAATGTTTCTCACAGCCCAATCAACCACACAGTTTGCAGCGAGTAGAAAACTCAGGGGAACACTGGAAAATTATTTTAAGATCTCAAGGAAAAGGTAGGCAATTAAAGGTAGTCCTCGACTTACAACCATTTATTCAGTGACTGTTTGAAATTACCACGGCACTGAAAAAAGCAACTTATGCCACTTACAACCACTGCAGCATCCCCAGGGTCACGTGGATCAAAATTCAAACACTTGGCAACTGACTTCTCTTTATGACGGGAGCAATGTCCCAGGCTCATGCGACCCCCCTTTTGCGACCTTCTGACAAGCAAAGTCAGTGGGGAAGCCAGATTCACTTAACAGCCGTGTTACTAATTTAACAACTGCAGTGATTCGCTTCACAAGAAAGATTACAGAACGGAGCAAAACTCACTGAACAAACGTCTCGTTCAGCAACGGAAATTTTAGGCTCAGTTTGGGGTCGTAAGTCGAGGTCTACCTGTAATTATATTAAAGAATTGTAAGGGCAAAAAAGTCTAGAATCCTGCCTTGGGCAGTCTGTAGTTGGCTTCTTTCGTCAGTCTTTTCTTGCCATTTTGTTCTTCTGGTCTTGAGACATTTCGCAAAGAGCTGCAAAAAAAAGCCCCACAAATTAACTGGAGGTAATTTGATACATCTTACGTTGCTGCAGAGAGCTTCCTACGGCTACCAAGCAATGTTTAATTCATAATTAAATATAACGTCTAGGTACATAGCTGCCGAGCTACTTCAAATGTGAGCCTTCATGTAAACTGTAATCTGCCTTTTAATCTTGCCAAGAAGCTCTTTATTGCTCTACAAAGTGATCCCTCTGTTCAGCCCGGATCAATTTAGAAAACAGTTTTGCCCCGGGAATCTATCAATTAGGTTTCATTATCATTGCTGCTGGATTATAACCATTGACTACGCTGGGAAAAGCACATCAAGTGCCAAGACTATGCTGAAACAGGAAGGGGGAAAAAATAGCCAATCATCTCCTGGCATGCAAACATGGCATCATTTGCAAAAAGGACTATACAGGAAGACCCTAATTTACAACAGTTCATTTAGCGACCATTTGAAAGGACAAGGCCACTGGAAAAAATCCACTGATAACCGTTTTTTACACTTACGACCGTTACAGCATCCCCCATGGTCAGGTGAGGAAAATTCAGATGCTTGGCTATTGATTCATATTTGTGGCAGTGTCCCGGGTGGGGGGTGGGGGGGGAAGATCCCCTTTAATGGCCTTCTGACGAGCAAAGTCAGTGGGGAAGCCAGATGTACTTAATGACCACGTGACTAACTTAACAACTGCAGCGATTGACTTAACAATAGTGGCAAGAAAAATCGTAAAATGGGGTAAAAATTCACAAGAGGTGCCTTGCTTAGCAACAGAGATTTTGTACTCAGTTTTGCTTGCAAGCTGAGGACTACCTACATTTTAATTGTTCAGTCATGGAGGTTTCCTGGGACAGCGGTTACTGGTGGTCCGTGAGAAAATTTTGGTGGTTCGCAGAAAAATCCTTGCATTTTTTTTATATTGCACTAAATCAGGGAGCCTCAAACTACGGCCCCAGAATTCCATAATTCAGTATGGCTGGCTGGGGAATTCTGGGACTTGAAATCCACAAGTCTTAAAATTGCCATGGTTGGAGACCCTTGATATAATGGATGAATACTAACTAAATACTAAATTGCCATGTTCAGGACATGCCTGAATTAGACATCACTTTCTTAGCAGAGGCCAAATATTTGGCAGTAGTTCAAGGACATAAAATGGTGGTGTGTAAGATTAAAGGCCTGTGTCATTTTCCCACAATATCCGATTAGATCTGATTAGATGCCCAGGAAACCCCATAAGTAACTCTTAAGAACTCACTCTTAATTTTGACTCCCCTGTAACAGAAGAGTCATTTTGATGTAGCGGTTAAGGAATCAGGGCTAAAAACTGGGTGACACTGAGTTCTAGTCCTGCCTTAGATATAAAGCCACCTGGGTGATCTTGGGCCAGTCTCTTTCTCTCAGCCCTAGGAAGGAGGCAATGGCAAACTACGTTGGAAAAACGTTTTCAAAACCCTGCAGGAACTTGTTCAGGCAGTCACCAGGAGTCAAAAATAGTGTTGAATGCATAAAAGAACCAAACAGCTATCATTATGAGAAACTGTCTTCTTCCCCTTCCTTCCACCCATCATTTAAATCTATGACACCATCTAGCATGTTAAGACCCTAAAATTGTTACCCTCTGCAGATCTTCACTAAAGGTAGGTTGGGTGGGTCTGGTCATAAGTTTGTCTACACTGCCCAACTCTTGCAAAACCATCAGCTTTCTGGTTGGAGGTGCGATGTGCAACGTGGCTAGCGTATCCTCGTAACTCGTCAGCTGCTTTTGCATGGCGGCTCTGCTGAGCTGCTTCACTGTGTCAACAAGTAACTTCCTCTTCCTTTTGCTTCTTTGTTTCTTTAGGAGAGCTACATAACAAGAGACATACACAGAGGACACGTTACGTACCAACCAGGGAATGCTAAGCAGATAATAATCACATTGTACTACTAATCCATATTTAGGTTTCCAGGGCTAATAAAATGTCGGTATTGCAAAAACCCTTCCACTTTTTTTTTTCCACATACATATACATATATTTATTTCGTCCAGGACAAAGTGTCGTCCGCCAGCTGCCAGCGGAGCAGATGAGGAGGAGGTTGGGGCCAGTTCTGGGAACACTCTGATGGATATTCAACATCGGACGCAGAGATAGAGCCAGGGCCATCTGACATTGCCCAGCTGCCAGAGAGGCAGCTGCCTTTGGAGGCTGATATGAGTGAGGAGGAAGAACAGCTGTTCCAGATGCACGTATGCGCAGAGCTGTTAGGAGAGGAGAACAATGGAGGGCAAGGAGTCGACTCCGGAAGCAAGGCACATCTGGACGCTGAATGACTCCTCCCTGGCTGGGGAATAAATAGAAGGAAAGGGGAGGGGTTGTTGTAGGAGACAACAGTTCGCATTTCTGAAGATTTTGCTCATGGTCTTTCATGCCACGGAGACTGCTTGCCAAAACTTAATTTGCAGCCTTTCGGTTGGGAGCTCACGGCCTGGCAATTATCGCAAGGAACCAGAGGTGGTATTCAGCAGGTTCTGAACAGTTCTGGAGAACTGGTAACGGGATTTTTGAGTAGTTCGGAGAACCGGTAAATAACCACCTCCGACTGGCCCTGCTCCCATCTATTCTCTGCCTTCCGAGTCCCAGCTGATCGGAATGGGGATTTTGCAGCAACCTTCTCCTGGATTGGGGAGGGAATGGAGATTTTACAGTATCCTTCCCCTGCCATGCTTACCAAGCCACACCACGCCCACTACGCCACACCCACAAAACTGGTAGTACAAATTTTTGAATTCTACCACTGCAAGGAACTGATAATGTCTGTTACTGCAGTTAACTCCTTGAAGGACTATTGCCTGGACTTTTTGGTGTGTGAATGCCGTTAATTCCCAAGAGATAAATAAAGAAGGGGTTTTCATACAAGGAATCTGTTTCTTGTTTTTGATAAGGCTGGGTCAGAACACAAGGTTAAAATATAAAACCAAAAAAAAAAAAAAGGTGTTGACAGGCAGGCACTAATCTAGACCTCTCTGGTAGATTCAGACTTTGGTATGAGGTTAAACCAATGGCCCCTGAGCTTTTGTGGTCCAGGGACTGGCAAAAAAAATTTCACGGACTGGAGGGATCATGGTTTCGTTTGCTGCCTGCATCCCGCAGATGGGGCTTTGCTTGTTTGCGCAGCCCGGTTTCTGGCATGCCGCAGCCCGGTGCCAGTCCATGGTTTGGGGTTTGGGGACCCCAGAGGCAAACCACACTGGTCACTCTCTTGAAAGATTTGGGGTCGAACTTAAATAGAGGTGGTGAGACTATTCTTCTCCTCCTTCCATTTCCAGTTACTCAACAGAGTATCCTTTTGGGTTTCCTGCAAAGGCTGGCAGTTGGGGCAAGGTGCTATAGTGTTCTACACCTACCTGAGTGGGCAAATCCAGCTGGCAGCATTTAAATTAGTTTAGAGGGTTATATACGGGTTGTCCTCGATTTACAACCATTCATTTATTGACCATTCAAAATTACAATGGCAGTGAAAAAAGTGATTTATATGTTTTACATCACCGTTGCAGCCTCCCGGTGGCCCCATGATCAAAGTCAGATGCTTGGCAACCGACTCATATTTATGACGGTTGTAATGTCCCAGGTCGCTTTTGCGACCTTCTGACCAGCAAAGTTAATGGGGAAGCCAGATTCATTGAACAACCATGTTACTCACTTAACAACTGGTTCATGTAACAATTGTGGCAAGAAAGGTCGTAAGACAGGGCAAAACTCACTTAACAACTGCCTTGCTTAGCAAGGAAAAGTTTGGGCTAAATTGTGGTCATAAGTTAAGGACTACATGTAGATGAATTCAACAGCCATTACATAAACACCAACTGAACTGTTAAAGGGAAGAGATGGTAGGAAAGAAACTCAAGATTGCACTGCCTTATTTCTCTTTACTATAAGGTCCCAAAGGTGCTTTTTTCAAGAAGCAACTGGACTTTCTGGTTTTTTTTCTTTGAAGATGCTTCACTTCTCATCCAAGAAGCTTCTTCAGTTCTGGCAGGATGGTAGGGAATGGAAGGATTTATATTCCTTGCAGACATCTGATCATTTACACCGTTTTATCTAGAAGATTCAGCAGTCCATCTGCATTTGAAAGACAAAGGGCACTCTTTTAAAGCCAGCAAAGTCCACATTTTTGACAGAGGGGATCGCTGGTTTGAAAGAGGCCATTTATGTCAAAATTGAACAGCCCTCTCTCAACAGAGGGGGAAGGATAGGCCATCATCCCTCTCCAGTCTACAATACAGTCCTTTCCACAGTTCCAAGAAGGCTCCACACCA